AGCAATCATATGAAGTATGGGGCCGACATTCTAATTCTTATAAATTTGCTCTCAAATTATATCTGTTAAAGGGTAAACATGCAATTGTTATTCATTAATCAATAAATTAGAGCGAGCAATTTTTTTTATCAATGGCCCCGAGTTGTATATAGAGGTCTGTATATAAATTAACATATTAAATAAACGGTTTATTTGATTTTAAAATTAACTAAATATTTTAAAAGAATTATACGAACATTCATACACTTTTCCGGTCCTAAATATAATACCTTTATATACATTAGTATAAGGGTTTTATATTTAGGACCGGATGAGTACATCTTTTTTGTCTATTCTATGCACATCTTTTATCATGAATAAAACAAAATATAATCTTTCGTTTGCTTTCCCACGTAACTAAAAAGATGTGTTTACACACCGTACAAAGATCATGGCTTTAATTTTTTAATCATACTAAAAATTCTTCTTCGCCATCTTATTTGATTGCGATGTTCCTCCTTTTACATGTTCAAAATTTGCCATCCACAGTATGTTACTTTAATTATGGTGAGTGGCGGAATCGGAACCATAAAGACTAATCAGAATAACGCATTTTGGGATGTGGCAAGTAAAATATAATTAAATAAAATGAAAACGATATATAAATTAATATTAAATATTCAGCCACCCACAAAATTCAATATCATCAATATGAAATATAATTTTTAAAAAAATAAATTGTGCTGTCCATGTATATAAAACATCAGCAACATGACCTGTTTTTCAGATTTTGTCGAATGTTATAGTGAACAAGAATTGAAGAATATGAATTAATTAAGTTGCATACAAGATGAAATTAAAAAGAGAGGGGAATTGAAAAGGCAGTTTCCGTCGTTGGGGCCCCTCCCCTCCGCTAATTTCCATTCCCCCCGTTTTCCTCGACCATAGCAATTTATTATCATTCCCCATCTATATTTCTATCCCTCACCAATCCTCAATAAAAAAAAAATTTAATTCATATTTAACTTTTTCAAGTTTTCAATAATTAATTTTAGTGTTACTTCAGAAACGGTTTTAATAATATACTATATTCATATTATTTTAAATGCAGTTCCATCACTTAATTATTGTTGTTTAGTACTCCATATATTTTTATTTTTCACCTAGAAGCAGAGGTGATAAGAAGTAGTTTTTAACAGTTTGAAAATCAAGATAACCGAGTTAACTATAATCACTACATAATACTGCCCGTAAATAGTCTGCAAGAGGGAATTAATGAAGGTTAGATCTCAAAAAAAAAAAAAAGAGTTGTAAATATCATTCAGATAGCTGCAAACACGTATCTTAGTAGTAAACTGAAATTTCATTTAAAACTTAAATACCTAATTTTCAATTGATATTTCTGAGTTTGTAGTTATTTAAATTAGTATTTCTAACTCAGTTTTCAGGGGGGAAAAAAAGATTATAAGAAACCTAACAATCATTAACTCCCGCTTTTAGGACCTTACTCTGGTCCTTAATATAGAATCTATTTAACTAGTTTGATTAAATTAACAAAGTTAGTTAAGTTAGGTGATAATCATAAATATAACAATATGTTTCCTAAAATACCCTCAATTAAAACTTCTTTAAAAAATTGACATTTCAAAAAATGTTTTAAATTATTTTATTAAAAATATAAAATGGTACAATTGATGTATGTGTGAAATTAATGAGTACTCACTCACTGTATAAAATATATAGGTGTATTATTAATAGGTATTAAGTATTATTGTGATATTTAATTATTTAGTAGGGGGTAATTTAGGAAAGAATTGGTAAATATGATAAATAAGTTTCATATTTAGGACCAAGATCAACCTCATAATTAGGTCCTATATTAAGGACCGGAAGAGTAAGTAATAAGCACATGAAGGCTACCTATTTGTGAGTTGTGACAAATGAGAAGATTCAATTACTCTCATTGATGGGCAAAGGTCAAAGCATTTACTTGAGTTGAGATAGATTTGCAAAACTCATCGGTACTCGTTAATGGGACACTAATGATTTAGAGAAAAATATTCCATTCTCCTCATCATATATCTCTCTCTATTTAATTTTTAGTAATTAGTACAGCAGGAGTTTTTTTTTTTAAAAAAAAAAAAGGCACACATACACACAAGTGAAGTGGTAGTAAGAAATAAGAATAAAAAAAAAAAGGGGTCCCAAATGGAGGGCAACAATGGAACACATTCCGAGTTTTGATGCTGAATGGGGAAATCACTTTAATTAGTGGCCTCAAAATCCATCCACTGCCCAATCATTGCTTTGCCCACTAAGTCCCCCAAGTGATTAAGTGAAATCTCCTTCGCATTCTTCTTAGTATTTTATTATTCCTTTTGACCTCTCCTTGCCCCATTCCCACCCCTTTCATTTTCTAGCTAGGTCAACATACATCGCCCACCTTCTTCCTACTCATTTTTACTGCTTCCTCCCAATATAATACCTCTTCCATTCCAACTTTTTCAAGTCAAAAAACAAAAATAACAGAAAAACAAATAAGAAACCATGATGAGAATCGATTGTTTTATATTTTTTGTTTGTTTGTATCTGTTTTTGTTTTACTACATCACAAAGTCTTATAAATTTCGGTTTCATTATTATGGAGCATGAATAGTAAGAAAAGGAGGGAATTGGGAAGGGAGTGGGGGGACAAATCCCTAAATGAAGGGGGCAACTTGGGGCTGGGGATGTTCAAACTTCAAAGAACACTTTATTTTGCTCCAAACATGGATCCTCTCAACCCATTATTAATTCATATATTTGGCTTTCTCTTTTGTGGGATGCCCACTATTCCCATTTTCCTTCTTTGTCCCCTCCATTTCCATAGCAATATTTCTTCTACTCCTCTACTCTTCTTCAACCGTTCTTTCACAACATTTTGAATCTTATTTATTCTCATATACCAAAGCTTATATCTATACAGTCATCTCTCATGATGCGGTTCAAATTAGACATCTCATATTTGGTAATTCATTGAATTTTGTTCATGATACAAATATTATTATACTCATTCCTTTCCAAAATAACAACTACTCCCTTCCTATTCTATTTTTATATATTTTATTGAACATAAAGAACGCTTTTGACATTTTTAAAAATCATATAAATACCAGTTGAAAAAATAGAAAATTATCATAAACCTTACGAAAAATTTATCTTCTTTTAGAAGTTGAATTTGCATATATTTTCTGAGAGATTTAGAGAAGAAAAAGGGGGTTTAATAGTTTAATTAATGGGCGTGCGCGTGTTTGCTCCTTTGGAAGCGTGGGGAAGTGGCGGGACCAAGGCGGCTCGGCTTGAGCCAAATATCGTGAAAAAAGGTCACGCAACGCGCTCGGCGCCGAAACTAAACTTTGCTTTATAAAGGCTTAAAAGCAAACTTCGTTTACATGGCTTGGCGGCTCAATAATATTATTAAGTTCCCAAAAATCCCATCTTCTGCCTCGGGGGCGTCGTTTTTCTCGCAAAAACACGCGTACGTGTTCATACTCGCCGCCAACTCATCCAATTATCGTTCTCTGAGTTGGCGAGTGGGCTGCACGTACCGTGCGCCGAGTTTCGAATAGCGTAGCATCCAATTAAAATTGATTAATTAAGGGGCTGGCCGAAAGAGTTTTGATTAATCAAGGGGACATGAGGGAGGCTGATCCAGCTTGAAACAACTTTAAAGCTGTATAATTATCCCAAATTAATTAACCACAAAACATTAATTAAAAACCAATTTCGTTACATTAACGAAAAGAATTAATTGGGAATTTCAATCCATGACCCTGAACTGGGATTTGGATCTGAGCCCTTGTGTATTAGTGCTAATCTCAAGTGTAAACAATCATATCATAGAATTGGACCACAAGGAAACAGCTTCTGACTTTCTTATCTTGTGTAGAAATTAAAGAAACGTCAACTGTATTTTAATATTACTTAATACAATTAAAAAAAATCCCAGAAATTAACTTAACTTTGAAGCCAAACAATGATGGTCAAATGCCCAATTAACTGTTTTGGCTGTCTCACAAGCCACACACAATAGATTGCATAACATCATCTTGTCATGTTTCTAATCTTTGGCTCAATTTTAGTATTAATCCAAACCAAAAATGTCAGGTGTATAAATAAAATCCATAAGCAACAAACAAAGCTTTGTGAAATGTGGCCTTTTCATCCAGATTCTTCTGAACTTTTGTGCTAGTCCTAGATTGCAAATTCTCATTGGATCCATATCTTTATTTAAACATTAACAATATTGATCTATCTCATAAGAAAATAATATAATTTTATTTATCTTTATGAAAGAAAGAGTATTAAAAAAATATTTTATATTTTCTCTCATCTATTTATTTTATCTCTCTATATACTTATTAAGTCAATAGGAACAAAAAAATTTTTCCTAACAAATGAATTATAAATAACAACTAAGTGGTACCAAATCATATTCTAATGTACTCCTCTGGCCTTACTTATAAGTCACTTCCAACATATTTTATACATACTAAGAAAAACCTTAAATTTCATTAACTCTCATTTAAAATTTAACAACTTTTTAACTTTATCCCTATTTAATATACATTATACCTTATATAAATAAAGTCAGCACAATAATAAATGAAGGGTGAAATTGTACATCCATACAAAAAATTTCTTTCAATATCCTATAAATAGAACCAAAAAATGTATTTTCTCTTTATCTTATAAATAGAACAAGAGAAATAGGTTATTCTGATGGAAAATTTTTTAATAGGAGATTTTTCAGCCTTTTTTTTACCAGAAAATTACCCTGCGCTCTGTCTCAAGTACATGCATTAATAGAGTTATAAACAGGGAATTAGGTTTTTAACTATGAAACCTTCATTAATTACATTAATATGATAATTAGAATAACAGTGGAAACTGGAAAGGGAGAATCTTAGCCGTTGAAGCGACTTTTTTGGGCTTATAAAGGGGAGGCCTTCCGCTCGTTTCACTTGTTACTACTGATCAGATCAACGTCTCGCTCACCCACTCGCTTCGGTCTCCATCCGAAACTCTGTGTCACCAACAAACGGAGACCCCCGAGAATCGATTCGGAATTTGGAATACACAGTGAACTCAATTGTGTATTCATTATTCATCTCTCATTCTCTCTCTTCCTCCATTTATAGAGAAGTGAATTTGCTTGGCTAACTGCATCCTTCTCTGCTTTTGCTTTTAGCCATACTCTGATATACATTTATTACATATTTAGCAACTTAAATACACAGCCCCATGCCGTCCTCGTAATATCTGGTTGAACAGTTTCGAGGGAAAGGAGGTCCTTTCTGTTCAGTCTCTGCAATTTCTGATACTTCCTGCTTTTTCGTCTCCTCGCCGTCTTTGGGCTTGCGGTACTTCTCTTTTCTCTGCGACGCCAATTAGTGGAGCATTAAAACGGTGGTTTTTATTGCGAAGCTCTGTGAATCTGAAAATCTTTTATTGAATGGTGAAATTCTGAAGCATCACTCCTGCTGCTTCTGCCACAACTGTGTCAGAGCACTTAACTAACTCAAGGAAGAGGCAGATAAAAAGAACGCATTATTGAAAGCAAAGGCCATTCTGTTTTGGAACACAGATCTGGGTTTTCCTTCTTCAAGCTTTAGGAGAAAGAGACGTCTCGACCAAGGTTAGTGGAAAGCGATTAGTGTATTGTGTTTGGATTTTCCTGCTTGCTGTTGAAAAAACTCTGTATACATCCCACTTTTTAATTCTGTTCTCTCTTCCCCACTTTCTTTTGTATTTGTATGTGAGGGAATAAGAGGATTTGAGTTTACTTTTTAAGCTTGTGGGGGAGGAATTTGCAGTTATCTGGATCTGGGTTCGTCTTATATAGGCTTTCGTTTTCTGGGGTTGCGTTTGATCATCTCGTTTTTTGTCTCATTTACTGTCCTTTATGTATAAACAAAGTATATAAAATTTCAGATCCACCAGGAGATTTTGACACTGCCTTTCGCGTATTTCGGAGACAATGTTGCCTCAGAAGCAGGCAGAGGAAGCCATAGTCACCAACTTCACCGAAACAGAGAATGATGGAGGCATCGTCAGGGAAGAAGAGAAGGAGCAAGACAACTCCATGTTCACCCTCAAGAGCTTCCTCTGGCATGGCGGCTCAGTTTGGGACGCCTGGTTCAGCTGTGCTTCAAATCAAGTACATATTGATTACTTAAAATACCCATTTCCCAAAAAACTCACTTTATTCTTCTTCTCCATTTTTCTTCTCCCAGTTCTCAAACCATTGAACCAAATCTTGCCGTTTACAGGTAGCCCAAGTGCTCTTGACGCTTCCCTATTCCTTTTCCCAACTGGGTATGCTTTCAGGCATATTGCTGCAAGTATTTTACGGCATACTCGGAAGCTGGACGGCTTATCTAATCAGTGTCCTCTATGTGGAATACCGTACCAGAAAGGAAAAGGAAAACGTTAGCTTCAAGAACCATGTCATTCAGGTAATTAAAATCACTCAAATCTTCTTGCCCCAAGATTCCAATTCCTAATTAAGTCTGGAAAAAGGAAAAAAACAAGAAATCACACTTTTTTTTTTCCTGGGTGAGTTATCAGTGGTTCGAAGTGCTCGATGGATTGCTGGGTCCGTATTGGAAAGCAGTGGGGCTGGCCTTCAACTGTACTTTCCTCCTCTTCGGATCCGTGATTCAGCTTATAGCTTGTGCAAGGTATGGGCTTTCCTTCGATTTCCGATCAGAAATTTGTCGATCTGATCAATTCTTCCAATTGAAAACAAAATCTCAAGCTTCTAAATTTGTTGGGATTGCTGCTGGCAGTAACATCTACTACATAAACGACAAATTGGACAAACGAACTTGGACATACATATTTGGAGCTTGCTGTGCGACCACTGTGTTCATCCCTTCCTTTCACAACTATCGAATCTGGTCATTTCTAGGACTTGGAATGACCACTTACACAGCTTGGTATTTGACAATCGCAGCGCTTCTTCATGGCCAGGTTTGTTACTATTCATATGATGAACAGAGACGAAGCAGTACAATTTGTACGAAGAAGAAAGATCTGATGATGGTGATTTGGTGGGCGTGTTGCAGGTGGAGGGTGTGACTCACTCGGGTCCGGCGAAGCTGGTTCTGTACTTCACCGGAGCAACTAATATACTGTACACATTTGGTGGCCACGCCGTGACTGTGTAAGTTTTTTTTTTTTAATCGAATTTATAATTCCGTTAACCTTTTTTTTTCCGGTGTAAATCACCCGATATCCAACCGCGTTTTTTCTGGGTCCCGGTTCATTGGACCGAATGTACCCGAACGATCGACTAGTCCGGATTCGAGGCTTCGGAGTGCCGAATTCCGTTAACCTTTTTGACTGCGTAATTTTCCCTCTCGTTTCTACACGGCTTCCCTTCGCAGCTTTTTGCCTGCCATCTAGGATCATCAGACCCACAGACAATATCATCATGCATTTTACTTTTTCTTTGCCTCTCTCAAGCTTTATCGTTCAAAGCTCTTAATGTCCAATTAATTTTTTGTTTTACCACATAATACCGGTTTTTTTACCATAGGCAATTAATGATGTGAAAAAAATTCACCTCTTTTTCCAAGCACTTCGTTTAGACAGCTATGATGAATATTGTTAAAAGCTTATCCCGAGTGTCCATGACAATAATTAAAAATATATATTATCCCTCCGACTCTAAATATAAGACTTTTTTTATACTAGTCTGATAACTTTAGTGCAGCAAATTAAGATCTCTCTTTTATTAGCTCTTCTTACTTTGTTCACCAACATATTTCTAGGCCATGAAATTACGGTTAATTAGAGACAGTAAATAAAACATGTCTTGTTATTTTGCCCTATCCTTTGTATCTCTGATGAGTTGACCCAAACAGTGGATCACATGAAATAAAATTGGATTTAGTTCTTGCTTAGCATGCACATGGCATCAGGAATTGAATGTGTTTTTTTAGTTTTTAAAAAAATACAGATAGGGACATTGTCATAAAATAGAAGAAGAAGAAGAAGAAAAGAAGTAACTGGTGGCATGTTGGGATTAAACAATGAGTGAATTAATGAATATGGGAATTGGGAGATGATGAGCGAAGAACATGTTTTGCAGGGAGATAATGCATGCCATGTGGAAGCCACAGAAGTTCAAGTACATATATTTGCTGGCCACACTGTACGTGTTCACGCTCACTCTTCCGTCGGCTTCCGCCGTCTACTGGGCCTTCGGCGACCAGCTCCTCAACCACTCCAACGCCTTCTCTCTCCTCCCCAAGACCGGTTTCCGTGATGCCGCCGTCATCCTCATGCTCATCCACCAGGTCCGCTCCATTCCAAATTCTTCCTCTCTCTCTCTCTCTCTCTCTCTCTATATATATATATATTAAATTCATAGCAGAAATTGAAGTCTGACATGTTGTTTAATAATGTGACTGTGGTTGCAGTTCATAACATTCGGGTTTGCGTGTACTCCATTGTACTTCGTGTGGGAGAAGGTGATCGGCATGCACGACACCAGAAGTATCTGCCTCAGAGCACTCGCGAGGTTGCCGGTCGTCATTCCCATTTGGTTCTTAGCCATCATCTTCCCTTTCTTCGGCCCCATCAACTCCGCCGTCGGAGCCCTCCTCGTCAGCTTCACCGTCTACATCATCCCTGCCCTCGCTCATATGCTTACGTACAGAAAAGCCTCCGCCCGACAGGTATATATATCCATCTGTATACAGGAAATTAGGAACCATATACCTAAGACTGTATCTAGTTGAGGGTATAGTTGTCATTTCATGTTCACTGATGAAATGAGACTGGTGGGACGTCGTTTTCGTTTAGTTATTTGCAACAGTTCAATTATTGGACCATGCCTTCTCTTTCGGCTGGCCCTGTTTGACTCATCGTCTCCTTCCCTAATAATTCATTCCATTAAACTTTGTGTGCTTTTGTTTTCTGCAGAATGCTGCAGAGAAGCCTCCCTTCTTCATGCCCAGCTGGACTGCCATGTACGTCTTCAATGCCTTCGTTGTGGTTTGGATCTTTGTGGTTGGCTTTGGGTTCGGAGGATGGGCCAGCATGACCAATTTCGTCAAGCAAATTGACACATTCGGCCTCTTTGCTAAGTGCTACCAGTGCCAGCCTTCCGGGCTACCACCGCCCAAGGCGGCGGCTCCACCCCCTCACGCTCATCATCTCTGAGCAGTGTCGGTTCCCCTGCCTCAACAACATAACAAAGTGGTACCCTTGAAAAGTACTAGCGCCTTACACTTCTCTCATATTTTGTATCATACGTGGGGAATATAGTAGTAATACTTCCCCCCTTTTCATTTCATGTGTGTGTGTTGTTGTTTTTTTTTTATTGGGGCATATTTTTATCTCTTTTTTTTTTCTTACTACATAGTAATTTTTTTAACTTGTTAGTTGATGATTAAAAAAAAAATAGTGTGTCTAATGGTTGTGATTTCTTTGCTATATAAATGCAGAGGTTAATGCATTAGAAAGAAGGAACATTTATATATGGTGTAGTATTTTCTCTCTCTTTCACTTTTTTTTTTTTAAATGTTTGGGAGATCTTATAAAGATTTTGTTGCGATTTTTTTTTTTCCTCTCGTTATGCCATTATTGCTTTGTGTGCTTCCAAATTATGTCTTCGGCATAGTACGATTTGCTATGGCACTGCGGATCACCAAAAATCTTAGGAAGAATTATAATTAAGTCTAAAAAAAAATTACTAAAAAATCTCAATAACAACCTAGTAACATATAATGACAAGTTTTAAAGTGAAAAATAAAAACTTTTGAGACTTATTTTGTAATTTTTCCTCCCTCTAGGAACTTATTGTAATTCTTCCAAAATTTTATGCTCTGATTATAGAAAACCAGGGTGTTAGGGGATGGATAATTAGTTAAAATTGCAAAAATAAATCCTCTCTCTTTTTTTTTTTTTTGACAATTACATGGAGACAATATTATTAAGTATTGAATGTGATTATACCTTTGTGAGAACTCAAACTCTAATTTACCACATGAAAAACTAGTGCGTTAAAATTATTTAAAAAATTCTTTCACTCTAAATTTTATTAATTTCTATTACTAAATCCTTTTTAATTATATGATGATTTTTAAAATATGTTGAGCTTTAAAAATAAATACATCTAGCGAGGATACAAATAACAGATCAAGAGCAAAAAATCTTTTTATTCATCTTGGAACCAAATGCTGTGCCTTGTATCTTTCTCATTTTAACTCTTAGATAAATAAAAAAAACTGGTTTATATTTAATATTTTATAAAATTATTGTTATCATTTTTATAAATTAAGCTTCTAATTTTTATACGTTGTAATTATGAACGTACGAGTAAATGTTAAACTTTAGTCGTTTAAATTTATTTATTTATTTAGTAAGTTTATAAAATAGGAAAACTTTGTTAAAAATTTCCCTTTGACAGATTAATTGGGAAATGGGAACTATTGCACAAGAAGTCATAGAGATGTTACTCTTTGAAAACAGGCACTTGTCCCCCAATTTTTCCTATACAATTTTAAATTTGAATAATTATTTTCTAATTCAAACACAGAGATGTGATTCTTGGGGTGGGGGGGGGGATGTAGATTTATTCGCCTGTACGAACCTATTGCAATTTTATAACAAAAGTTAAACTTGGAATGGAATTTTTGTGGTTGCACAATTTTAGAGAACTTGGGTCCTAAAATTATGGTGTGGCAGGTTTTCTTTATTTGTTTTATTCTTTTAGAATTTACTGACAAAATATATAAATGAACTCATCAATGAATGAAGTATTTAAAAAAAGGCATAAAATAAAGAAACTCAAATTTTTCTCAGAGTCTGGGTTGGTTCATGAATCACTGGAAAGTGGAAACGCCCCCGGGGGGAGGAACGGAGAGAGATGGGGCCATGGAAGGGACCTACACAAAACATTCACATGAGGTTGCATGTGGGTAAGATATATATTGCTGGTCATGTGGCCATTCTTAACTACTCTCTATTTTATATTGTCCTTCATTTTTCTCTGTTTTTTTTCTTGGTATTTACTATTCTTAATACATGAATCTCTCCCTTAGCTTGTTTGTTCTTATCGGTTTATCCTTATTCCCCTTATTATTTTTTTATTTGCTTTTTCAAGAAACTTCAAATGTCCTTTGATGCACATTTACTATATTTAATACTGGCTAGAGACGTTGGCCCAAAAAAATATTAGCTAAAGAGAGCAAATATAAGTACTCGTTCGATCCTAAATGTAAGACCTATTTTGTACTGTAATTTACACTATAAAAGGGGTCTTATATTTAGGATCAAAAGAATACCTAACTGAACTCACATTTGACATTAATTTTCTTTCTTTTGTTTTCAATAATTCATTTGATACAAGAAATTCATACACTTAGATATGGTTACTAAATAACAGGCCAGGACCCAACCTTATTGGGCCATAAGCCCAAACCAAACATGACTTGGACCAACTTTTTCAAATAGTGACCCAAATGGTGCCAAGAACAACAATCCATACTCAGGCCTGAAGTGCCAAGGCTCCAATATTCATCATCTTTGTAAGCCCAAAACAAATCCCACGCTAATGCTCTCATATTCATATTCAGACTTGGACTGACACTGACCAACTAGTGTTGGTCCAAGTGGAAGGGATTTAGACCCCTTAAACATCATGTCCTGGGTTCGATCCTTAAGGCGGTGCGTATGGAAAAAATACTGTTGGGAGGAGTCCCCGCTACGGCGCCTGACAGTATCCTGAGAAATTAGTCTCTTACCGTTCGGGTGGGAGGATACTCTGGGCAACCAAAAAAATATTAAGGCTTTGTGATGCATCTACTTGGATTGACAATGAATCTTCTCTTTCCTTTTCTCTTCTTGTCTCTTCCCTTCTTTTTAATTTTTGGTACTGCACATGAACTTATGATTAGAATCAAAACAAATTGTGATCTTTCTCTTTTAACCACCGGTTCTTTTGTTTTCGCCTGACTGGATTGTAGCGTTAATTAGCTTCCAAGTAGATTATAGGTAAAAAGTATACATTACATACCAAACATTAGACTTTGGACATATGTAATGGAAATTAATTAAGGCTCACAAATTCACAAAATTCCAAATTAAACACAAAGAGAAGGTGGTGGTACGTAGGAGCAGTTGGGTGAACCACTTCATAAGAAGTAGTCCAATTCGCTCAACCTCCATCCAACTACCTCCATCTCTTCTTCTCTTCTTCATCATAATAATAATATATAAACTCACACCATAGAAACCATAAGGCCTTCAAATCTCAGAGGCATACGTGAATCAGTAGTACTCAATACTAAACCAAAATGGCGAGCAGCAAATCTGTAACGGAGGAGCGAGCGGGAGCAGAGATCGTGTATGGCTCAGAAGATTGCTATCGGCACTCCATAGAGCTTCTGGAAGAGCTAGGGTTTCCGAGAGGGGTGCTTCCATTGAAGGACCTGGTGGAGTGTGGCAGGGTTCGAGAGACAGGCTTCGTGTGGATGAAGCAGAAAGGTCCGTACGAGCATATGTTCGAGGCGACCAACACGAGGGTGAGCTACGCGGCGGAGGTGACGGCGTACGTGGAGAAGGGGAAGATGAAGAAGATGAGTGGGATTAAGAGCAAGCAGATGTTCGTTTGGGTTCCGATCAGCGAGATGAGCATCGACGAGAAGAATCCGGACAAGATAGTGTTTAAGACTCCGATGGGAATCGGCAAGTCTTTTCCGGTCACTTCCTTCATGACGCACCAAGAAAAGGAAAAGCCCCTTCACAGCCACAACAATGGCACTAAATTACTTCTCTGAACTCCCAAACTATATACTGGCGTTTTCGTTCCAATATGTTTGCGTTAAATATTCGGCCATGTTTTTATTTATCTTGAATTATTTAATTATTAATTATTACCATATTTTCATCAAGAGTTGCATATGTGATCTGTATCGTTTTAGAATGCAATTATATTTGACTTTTTTAATTTGCCATTCTATACAAAAAAGAGTGAAGATGAAAATCTATTCATCAAGTATTGCATGGGGAGCACCATACATTATAATCTTCTCTTAGATGTAAAAATACATATGAAGTTTTCAAAATTATTTAAAATATTATGGTAGTTAAAAACTTCACATGTATTTTGCACTATTTTTTTGGTACAGTTTCCAATTTTAGTTCATCATGTTATGAGAAATTATCTCCTTTTGCTAGGATTAACTCTCGTTAGTTTATTATGATAGACTCAAATCTTAAATTAATTTTGTGAAAAGTAATTGTTAATTTCTAACTTGTAATGAACGGTCAATATTTGAAAGCAAAGTTATTGTTATTTCTTACGGCACATTTTTTTTTCATACAGCGGCATATTTGTTATTTAGTTCTAGGTTTTGTTTCACACATTTTGAATTTGATGTTGCGAAAATTTGTTTTAAATTTCTAAGTTTTAATTGTTAATAATTGAAAGCAAAGCTCTTATTGTTTATGGTATACTCGTTATTATTCTTTTCTTAACCAAATGGTATACTTGTTATTTAGTTTCAATTTTTTTTCCACCGATTGGGTTGTTAATTTATGAAGTCTATTTGTCGTTCTCTTAAAAAAAAAAAAAACAGTTGTTATTCACTTATTCTTATCCTAAAACTTGATTGTTATTCCTGTATTATATTTTTCCCTATATCATTAAAGCGTATATAAGTGGCTCATCAACTTGGTCAAAAAAAAAACAAGTGGCTCATCAAGTGTCGTTACACTCTTCAACCCGTGAAAAAATTCAAGTCTTTGTTCTGAAATATTTAATGGGCAATGGCCTGCTCAAGTTTTGAAGCCCAATACAGAATTCTTCTGTAATCTAAAAGATTTATGAGGCCCAAATTAAACTGAGGTACCCAAAATAATACTACAAGGGCCATCTTTTATATTGTTCTTGGGAACGTGACTACATATTCTTAAAGCGAAATGATCCAGATGTAATCGGAGTAAAGCTCCGGTGAATTGGGTGGACAAAAAAAAAAAATGAAATGATTGAGGAAAATAAATTTTAAAGGTTAATGGTTATTTTTGCCCTAAAATCTAAATATTTGTGGAGTGGCTATAAGTATTTGAAAGTTTTTCTTGACTCAATCTTACCCTAAAAATATTAAGAAAAGAAGTAATGTTGCTTTGACTGTTATAAACCATTAACAATCAAAATTAGTTTTTAAGCCAATAATATTAGTTTTTTAACCATCAAGGTGGCATTGCTCTTTTGTTTTTGTCGCTTTTAATTTGAAGTGACGTTGAGCCAAAAAAAAAAACTACTAAATTCCTATAACTCTATTGTAGATATTTTTTAGTTGGTCCTAACAGGAACCTCAATTTTCCTCTAAGTGATGTAATTGGAAGAGTGAAATTATAGAATTTCAATAAAGATAAAAAGTAAGAGTTAATAAATTAGGCCAATAATTTGAATGTTTTATTTATCTCGAATTATTTAATTATCAGTTATTACTATATTTTTTTATCAAGAGTTACATATGTCATC